ATCGAGCGTCCGTCGAATGTGAAAAGTAAGCAACCAGTATTTTTTCCAAAGTTTACAGTCCGCTCTAGCGAGAGAAGTCACGCCCAAGCGAGCCTTCACTTCTTGCATGTCCGCTCGAGCGAGGAGAGCCACGCTCAAGCGTGGACCCTGTTTTCAGCAAGTTTTGGAAAATGTTTTCAAATGTATTTTTGCATCCTCATTTCATCCTAGGCATTCCTAGGCCATGATTAAGACTCCATAATGAGGTTAAAGGCTAGAAACACGCTCAAAACAAATAAAGTAAGTTATGTACAATTCAAATGTATGTTTCAGGTGTGTGTTTGTTATGTGTTCATGTAGATCACGTGTTGTAGACCGTCTGATTAGTTTGCTCTGTCTGTTTGCACTCGAAGCCAACTTTGAGTGATAACTTAGTAAAGCTATGTTCAACTTTATTTATTTTCTATATGATGAAATAAGATCTATTTTCTGAAATGATATGTTCTGTACAATGAATGATTGTCCAATTTCTAATAATGTATTCGTGGCATCCTTAGCATCATGTGATATCTGTTAGCTGTTACCCGGTATCAAAGGTTCCATTATGGAACTTAATATGTCTGCACTCTGTTACCCATACCAGAGGCTCCATCATGAAGTTCAGCATGTATATTCTCTGTTACCCGGATCCGGAGGTTCCTTTATGGAACTGGTTATTCATAACCACCATATGTTCTGCATCTGTTCTGTATCTGTTCTATTAGTACTAATGTATTTACCATGTATGATTAAGCATGAATTATGATTTCTGCATATCATCTGAACAAGAATACGAATATGAATCTGAATTATGATTTCTGAATCTATATGGACTTCATTCATCAAAACACTTTACTCTGTTATTATTCACTGGGCTTTTATAGCGACCCCGGTCTTTTTCCTTTAGATTATTGTATCAGAACTTAGGTTCTGTGGATCCGGTCAGTTTATATTGGTTGTTGTCGTCCTTTAATCTCTTTGTAATTGAGTTATAGGATGTGTTGGGCGGGTCTGTTACAAGTCGGTTGAGTTTAGATGCCAAAACTAGTTGCCCAGATTTTGACCTGTCCGCTCGAGCGGGAGTTTGACGCTCGAGCGGGGATTCTTTTGTTGCTTGTCCGCTCGAGCGGGGGTTTTGGTGCTCGAGCGGGATTATCACCCATCCAGTATTTCCTGTGCAGTGTTGGACGCTCGAGCGTGGGATTGGACGCTTGAGCGGAAGTGTGTGAGTGCCGCTCAAGCGTGGAGTTGGACGCTCGAGCGGAGACTTGGTTCTGCAAAAGTACTGGGAGTGCGTATTCGACACTCGAGCGGGAGTTTGGACGCTCGAGCGGGGAGTTGACTACATCAGTCCGTGATTTCACTTTTTGGATCACTTTTTGACCTACTTTTCTTCCCTAACTCTTTAAAAACCGCCACTTGAGAGTTTCTCTCTCTACTCTCACCTTCTCTCTAAGATTTGATCTATTGGTGTTTTGATAGGTTGGGGACACTTTGAAAATTTTGGAAACAAACCCTAGTTGAATTACTAAATTGATTTGAGTAATTAATTTAAGGAAATTGGGGAATTTGGTTAAATTCATGAAATTGGGGAATTCATTGGTTAAATGGTATAGTTGGATTATTTAAATCACTCGCCTATTGAATTGTTGGTATATTTATTTTCGAGTCTGTTTTGGGCTATCGGTGGAGGATAGTCGTGATTGTTGTAGACATTGCATGTGGATTAGGAATAACTGAAACTAATCACATTGGTTAAGTCATTAATTTTGGCTATTGAATTAATACTGAAAATACGTGTGTTGATTGAGCATTGCATTTGCATACATTGTTTTGTGTGTGTGAGGAGATAGGGGATGTACTCCACGGTTTATGGGAAGATAGGGGATGGACCTCTAAACCGGATTTTGTTTTGGGAGGAGATAGGGGATGGACTCCATTAGCATCACTTTTATGTGTGCTTATTTATATTGAAGTGTTTTTATTGATACAGCACTAAAATGTGTATCAAACTGGAAGTATGAAGTGTTTTGATTTGAGCCTGAGTCTCATTTGTTTGTTGACATTGGAAGAATGTGAATATGATATATATATAGTTCACTGTTGTAAGTTTGGCCAGGTTCTGAGCCATGTTGATAATGATGGAAAGTGAAATGTGTCTTAGACATTAGTGTCATGAGACTGTATAATGATACAATTGATTATCTTGGTTAGCCATCTATTGAATGCTATAGCTTTATTCAATGCTTATGTTTGGTTTAGTATTTTTCTACTGGGCTGTGGCTCACCCTTTATGGGAACATCATTTTCAGGTTCAGGTGATAAGCTACCTCCAAGGACTTAGCTTGGAAGGATTTGGATTTTGAAGACTATCTTTAGTTATTTGTTTTTATTTGATAAACATTCAAGCCTAGGGCTTTATTTGTATTTGAGTTAGAACTCATATTTTTGTGTCCAAGTGTTGGCTTGGAAAGATGTAAGCCCATAGGGCATTTAATTTGATGTTACATGTAATGTTTTCATTTAGTAATACTCTGATGAATGAGATAATGAATTGTTTTCTTTTAATATTGCATGTCAATGATATATATATAATGGGTTTATTTTGAGGGCGTGACAGCTTTCGCTCACTATTTATATTATGTATGTAGGTGAGCAAGCACGTGACCAGGCCCTGAGTTGACGGCCTATGTTTCAGTTTTTGTCAGCCAACCTTTGCACCTCCCAAGGAGGTTCCGGATGAAGTCAAGTTTGCGGTTGTTTTTGTAATCATATTAGACTATGTTTGTCTGTTAAGTTGTGGGCGAGATTTTTGACACATACGCCTAAGTGTGGTATGTAAATATTATATCTTTTGGTTATCACTCGTATGCTTTGTATATTTTCTTTCGTAGCCCCTAACCATATGTTAATTTGTCAAGAGGCCTTTGGTAATCCAAGGATTACTGGCCGGTTACGATGCTAAACCCATAGGGGTGGGTTTGGGTCGTGACAATTCTAGCTTGATAGTGTTATGTTTTTGGGACATATGATTAGTAAAGATGGCATTTCTGTCGACCCACAGAAGATCGAAGCAGTTGTGAATTGGCCTAGACCGATTAATGCTACTGAAGTCCGAAGTTTCTTGGGTTTGGCCAGATACTATCGAGGATTCGTGAAAGACTTCTTCAAAATTGCTTTGCCTTTGACTCAGTTAACTTAGAAATGGATACCGTTTGACTAGACTGATCAAAAGGAATCAACCTTTCAAGAATTGAAGACCCGACTTGTGACTGCACCGATTCTCACCTTACCCTCAAGTATGAATGTATTTACTATTTTTAGTGATGCTTCTTATAAGGGATTGGGGTGTGTATTGATGTAGAATGGTAAAGTCATTGCGTATACTTCCCGACAACTAAGGCCACATGAAAAGAATTATCCGACTCATGATTTGGAGCTTGCTACAGTAGTGTTTGCATTGAAGATTTGGCGCCACTACTTGTATGGAGCAACATGTGAAGTTTATATAGACCACAAGAGCTTAAAATATTTCTTTACCCAGAAAAAGTTGAAGATGAGACAACAGAGATGGCTGGAATTGATAAAAGATTATGAATTGTAAATTTGTACCATCCGGGGAAAGCTAACACTGTTGCTGATGCACTTAATTGGAAATCTATTAGGAATTTGGCTTGCTACTTACACTACAACAAATTTGGGATTTAAAGACGAAACAAATTTGTCCCAAAATGTATATATTTCGTCACCCAAACTAATTACGACGAACATTTTTCATCACCCATTTTGTCGCCAAAGGGTCGTCGCTAAAGGGTCTTAGAGATGAAAAAACAAATTCGTCATTGAAAATGATAAATTTGTGATGAATTTTTTTTGTCTCCAATACACTTTGTTGGGAACATACTTGTAAGTAATTAGCGACAAAATATTTTGTCATTAAAGGAGAAATTAGAGACTAAAGTATTTTGTCATAAATATAAGAAATAAAGACGAAATAATTTTGTCATGTTTAATATAAACGAAGACGAAAAATTTTTGTCAAAGAAGCTACCAATAGAGACAAAAACAAATTTATCATTAAAAATGATAAATTTGTGACGAATTTTTTGGTCTCCAATACACTCTGTTGGGAACATACTTGTAAGTAATTAGCGACAAAATATTTTGTCATTAAAGGAAGAAATTAGAGACAAAAGTATTTTGTCATAAATATAAGAAATAGAGATGAAATAATTTTGTCACGTTTAATATAAACGAAGACAAAAAAAATTTGTCAAAGAAGCTACCAATAGAGACAAAAACAAATTCATCATTAAAAATGATAAATATGTGACAATTTTTTTTGTCTCCAATACACTCTATTGGGAGCATACTTGTAAGTAATTAGCGACAAAATATTTTGTCATTAAAGGAAAAAATTAGAAACAAAAGTATTTTGTCATAAATATAAGAAATGGAAACAAAATATTTTGTCACGTTTAATATAAACGAAGACGAAATTTTTTTGTCAAAGAAGCTACCAATAGAGACAAAAACAAATTTATCATTAAAAATGATGAAATAATGTCAAAAAAAATTCGTCACACATTGAGGGTAATAGTGACAAAATGTGACAATATTTTTTTTCATGACAAATTCATTTAGCGACGAAATAAAGAATTCATGACAAAATTAATCATCCACCTAAGCCAAATAAGAGACAAAAAAACCTTCTTTAGGGATAGAAAATTTTGTCAATAATTTCATAATATTTTTTTCCACATTATATACCTATTTTATCAAAATCTAAATTTTAATTCAACAAATATGACCCTGTTCATGTTGAAACCTGTTGAATATAACAATTCCATCACAACTTAACATAACCTGTTATCAACACATTTACTTTTTTTTTTTTTTTTTTATTAGTAACCCTGTTCATGTTGAAACTTGTTAAGTATAACAATTCCATCACAACTTAACCTAACCTGTTATCAACACATTTACGAATTAACAAAATGAAAATATCCATTCATCATTACAAATAATTTCATCCTAATACAATAAAATAGTGAAATATCCACAAAATATCCAAAAGTTGTAATTGTTCAATTCCACCAAACATCCAACAATAACTAGTGCAACTCTACAAAGTATGTGTATCTTTATCAAACAAAAAATGAACATTCAAACAAACTACATCATTGTTGCACGCCAAAAATGTCACCCCAATCTAATCTGCAAAAAAAATATTAAAAGCTTTAGTAATTAATCAATTATACAAAAGATTAAAAACATTAGTAACTTATCAATTTACAATTAGATCAATTATACAATTTATCCCTCTAACAAACTTTTTTCGAGATTATGAGAACAAAAAATTAATTTTAAGGCTAATTCACAAATGGTGCATCACATTAATGTGCCGTAAGTTCATACAATTTGTATTGGTCCCTCCTAATGTGTTTCTATTGGTTCCTGTACAAATCTGTGATTGTGTGATAATTTCGCATTTCGACGACCTTTTTTGAAGCTTTAAGTATAGAGAAAAAAATATTTTTTAGACTATTTTCGCCTCCGAAACGCCCATTTTCGAGTAAGTTTAGGGCGTATTTGGCTCTAACTCTCTACCTACAAGTCCGAATTACATTCCGTCAGTTGTCACAAGTCCTATTTGTCATCGAGAAGCTGTCCGTGAGAGTCATACGGTAGTTCGGGGGCTGTTTTGAATTTTCGCTCCCAAAACACCCTTTTTCTTATTATTAATAATACCCACATGCATTACATAACCCAAGTTTTTCTTAAGCCCAAGATTATTAATAGTTCCTTTATTTTAATATAAGAACTCAAGTATAATGCCTTCTTTGTTTTCTTTTATTTTCTTTTTCTTTTTAATATTTTTCTTAAATTGTCCAAACACATCCTGAGGTAGCTCAAGAATAGGTTACTACGCCAATAAAGCTGATGTTTGTTAGTCAGTGTGAAGTCATTAATAAAATTATTAACTTATTGACAAGCATTGAGGATAAAAGAAAAGAAAACAAAGGGTTAACTATGCTAATGTCTGATTCTAATGTAATAGGTTCTTGGAGAGCCTATTGGAGATAAGGATTTGGATTAAACAGGATGCTCACATTCAATGAACTAATGTCACTATCATAATATGCCTCCACATCTACTTCCAATCACACTCTAGCCAAGTATAAAAGTTAAAAATATCTTGGCCATCATCAAGACAAAAACAAACAATGATAGACAACATATTTTACATATTCACTGGACATGCTACCTATCATTATTCAAAAATACAGGCAAGAAACAACTAGGCAAAGGCAATTATTGACCATAAACACAAAAGAAGTAGCAAAGATAGTAACTTCTGTAACAGAATCGTGGGTTCACCGTTATTTGCTCGCAGGTGATCGGATATCGACGGAGCTCGGAAGAAAGGAATACGGGCACGCCGGAATATTTCCACCCCGTACAATACCTAAGAGACATACAATGCAAATTTAATTATACAAATAGATGACTACACACAAATTCTACATCATTTGTACATTGCAGAAACTTATCAAGGAACTAACTATATCTATAGTTGAATTTGATAACAAAGTCCATATGTTGTAACACAACAGAACAACTTAAACAAGAAATGTGATCATATGATTGAGTAGTACATAGGTTTCAAGTTTAAAAGTTTGAAAAACATGCCAATTGATCAGTATCAATATTGCAAACTTAAAGGAATTGACCTGTTAAGTGAGGCAAACATGGCATGGCACGGGATTAAATATTACAACTTACCCAACCAAGTCAGAAGCAAGAACAGCATGCAGAAGCTTTGATCAAGATGGCAGTGTCTTGTGGATTTCTGAAGAAGGAAAAGGTGTGGAGAAACCAACCAACTTTCATATCACTGTTGTCCTCCTTCAGGCATTTTGGAAGGAACATGAGGTGGTAGTCATGGCACCAAACAACATCACCCTCCTGGTAATGCTGGTTTACCATGGCAGCAAACATTACACTTGCTTTCACATATGCAGCGAACTGAGACTGAAAACTTCTGGGTAGTGGCGAGACGATCTTCTTGCGGAAGTCCAAGACAATGAAAAAGAGGCAATAATATGTTGTTGAAATAGCCATTATAACATTGGTGAACAAATAAATAAAAACAGGAATTTAATGATGCTCACAAGAATTCTTCATGATTCAAAATAAAATATCAACTATCAATGTCCCAAGACTAAACAAGGGTGCAAAGATTGTAGCTGAAACTCTGAACCTTTTCAGCCAAGCTTTAGTAAGTGCCCTCTGTCCAGCCTCATCTGGCACATTAACACCAGCCCACCCAATCCATCTTGCCCCAAACTCCTTCACACCTTCAAAAATAATTAACACGCATTATTAGGTTTCTTTATGTGGGTAGAAATCCAATCCTTACTCTCTTTTTTATTCATTAAATTTGAGTGAAAAATTGGTTAAAACAATACAACAAAAACAGATAAAGATCACACTTTTTTTGTGTAATCTATGTTATCTATGTTATTTAATCACTTTTTAAGTTTTGTCAAAGTGTGATCTTTGGGAGTGTGATTAAAATGGTCATTTTTAATCACATCTTTTAAGTGTGATTAATAATATTTAGATTACATCTTTTAACTGTGATTAAAAACTAATAAAACCTGTGATAATAAACATTTAGATCACATCTTTTAAGTGTGATTAAAAACTAATAAAACATGTGATAATAAACATTTAGATCACACCTTTTAAGTGTGATTAATAACATTTAGATCACATCTTTTAAGTGTGATTAATAACTAATAAAACCTGTGATAATAAACATTTAGATCACATCTTTTAAGTGTGATTAATATCTAATAAAACCTGTGATTAATAATGAGATAAGATCACACGTTAAATGTATTTTTCATCACAGTTAATGCGTGTGATAAAAAAAGGATTCAACATATTTGAAGAATAATCAACATTATTTTTGCACGCACATTTCAAGAATGTAATACACACTATATACTATACTTTGAATAACAACCACATATATTGAATGGAATAATATCATATATTTCATAAATGAAAGTTAATATGTTCAAAAGTATATACAAATGGATTAAATAAAAAGTTTCACTACTATAAAAAGTTAAATACGTACGGTAGTGATTGTGCCTTTTCACATCAAGAAGTTGCAAACCCATCAGTCTCCTACCTTGGAGCTTATTGGCTTGCTGCAAGTTAGCTTGTTACTCTAGTTTCCTTCTCCACAATATGTCCTGGGTTGTATCTCCAAACATCCTTGCTCTTGAATTTGAAAAACAAACCCCAAACATCAGTGACATAATATGATTGGGTTTGCAACAATCAGGGATGAAACCAAGGACATTCGTAGCTTTAATGTATGTGTGAATGGAGCGAAAACAATGCACATTTTTGCTTACCATGCTGGAGAGCATAAGGGTCTCTTAAATCTAAGCCAGTAGGGCTACCACATGCTGAGAACTCTCATCTCTCCATTTGTTGCTACTGATGCTGCAGCTTCCTGTAATTTTCCATTGACATTAACAAAGAAAACATGAGAATGCTTATATCTACAAAAACAGAATTCATAACATAGACAGAAGAGAAGAGAGAGTGCCTGTATTTGTCAGGGGCCTTGCCCTTCTCCTTGTATGGTTTCACAAGCACCTGAGCATCACACATACAAAATGAGGGTTCCCTTTAGCAAGAATGAGCTTAACAGTTTCTGGGTAGACAAAGGTAACAAACCCAAACATTCTCTTTTGTTGATATAGAATCCTCACATCTTGAATTGGTCCATAAATACTTGAAAAACCAATTAATAAATAGTTTAGAAACTAAAAGGGCATTCAATTGAGTACAAATAGCCAAATCTAAACATATATACCTGGAATAATTGGAAACATCCTCTTCTCTAAATGTGCTATCAGCTGGAAAAGTCAAGTAGATCTGTCTTGAACCAGGGTTCACCATTTCCAGCCCACTGTTCATCGGAAACTCGTTCCTATCAAGCCAGGATAGACTGAATTTGTGCATATCCTCACCCATCATCAACGTCGTGGCAGCCCGACCCTTCAACATGTAGAGCAAACCAAGTGTAAGTACAAGTGATCACTTCACAAGAGAGTAACATATGAGTTAAATTATGAAAGAATATATGATGTATATATGTACCTTTGGGTATCACTTTGCTGTTGTTGGAGGAGGAGATTCATGCATTTGTTTGCAGCTACAGCAGAGTAAAGGAGGGAAGTAGAAGCCACAAGCTGAGAAGCAGCAACTAACCTCTGTTGCTGTGCTGATTTAGATCTGACAATCGCCCAAAGTTTGCTTCTTAACTTTATGCAATCAACATAATTTATGGAAAACAGATATTTGGAATAAGCCATGTAAATAACAGTGAATTAAGTAAGAGATTGAAAGCTGAAATGAAAATAAAAGGATTTAAATAATGAACGAATGAGGAGAACTTCTTAATACCTTTAAGAGTAACAATAGTAGTGAGATTGAAGAAAAGGAGCCACAAAAAACCAGTGCAAAACTAAACTAAATCATCCAATTATGGCTAATTTATCATCAAAGAAGTCCACAACAGCTTTAGGAGATGCAAAGGGACTATCAGGGAGGTTGTGTTCCAAGCTATTATGGGTTGCATTTCTGTTGATCCAAAAAGTAATATACCTTTCTGGAATCACTTTCTTCATGAAAATGGGGACTTTCTTTGCCACTTCCATTGCCAATGTCATTACCATTGTCGTTACTTGCTATTGATGTTTCTTTTTCTCTTTCTCTTTCTCTTTCTATTTATGAGATACATTTACAGTCTGTTGCAATTGTTGATCACCCGCAGCAGTTGCTGCAACTGCCATTGTGGGGTTGGATCCATTCTCTATAGGAAAACAATAGATTGGCATCAACATTTTCATTTCTCAACTCAACATTGATTCTACTAAGCATAATAACCACTATGACCTAAACAAACAATAATTTAAGGTTAACACATTTCTCAGATTAAAATCAAAATGAGAAATACACCTTCTATGACTTCAGGACTAACAGGCAAAATTTACCTCCAAGACTGCAATACAAGAACCATTGTAAACAAATATTTGAAGAATTGATAAACCCTCTCTCTCCGTGCTTCATTACCTTCTTCTCTGCCCTGCCATGCCCATGTATTCGTTGGGGTTTTGATAAAAAGACAGACCAATGAGTGAATAAAAGGTCCATACAATTATTCACTAAATATGATTCAATAAATTGAAACAGAAAACAAAAGGTCAAGAGACAACTCATGGAAACTCTGCAATCCATGAAATTAAAATGAGAAATACACCTTCTATGACTTCAAGACTAACAGGCAAAATTTACCTCCAAGACTGCAATACAAGAACCATTGTAAATAAATAGTTGAAGAATTGATAAACCCTCTCTCTCCGTGCTTCATTATCTTCTTCTCTGCCCTGCCATGCCCATGTATTCGTTGGGGTTTTGATAAAAAGACAGACCAATGAGTGAATAAAAGGTCCATACAATTATTCACTAAATATGATTCAATAAATTGAAACAGAAAACAAAAGGTCAAGAGACAACTCATGGAAACTCTGCAATCCATTGATTTAGTCAAAAGGCATATTTGTGCTTATATGAGAGAGAGAGAGAGAGAGAGAGAGAGAGAGAGAGACATCAAGTGTTACAGTAAACTACTTTCATAACCAAATGAACAATATCTCACCTTGTTCCACACCATCAACTTTGGAATTGATGCCACATCCAGTTCACTTAGAACCTTGTCCACAACATCAATCTGTTGCTCTGCCAGTGGATGGCTGAACTTGATAACAATACGTTTTGAGAAAATAGTGTTTGTCAAGCAGAGATAAATCCTCTTCACTAATTCACCAAGTTATACCTAATATCCACCACATGCACCAGAAGGGATGACTCAGAAATTTCCTCCAAGGTTGCCCTAAAGGTAGTAACCTGCAGCAAAAAGCACTGATTAGGGGAGAACAAAGAAAAATAACATGATTTCTTGAGCTTCAAGTAAGTTTACATTTACTGGAACCTATTTTTCAATAGTCAGTTGGAAACAAAAAAGAAAGGAAAGATACAAGGAGTTCGTGTGATATAAATTATTAGTAGCAATGATTGTCACATATGCAACTTGAAGATGTAACATAGCTTACCAGTGTAGTTGGTAATTTCTGAATAAATCCAGTAGTATCTGTAAGAAGAAACTCCTTCCCATTCTTCATCTGGATAGAGCCAACAGAACAACATATATGTGAGTTACACCAATAAAAAGAAAGCTTTAAATCATAAGATATAGAGGGTACACTGTTGTCTAACAGAGCTAAAGACGGTGTTGCACGTAAATGAAATGGCTTTCAAAAAATGGAACCATTTTCCACATGACATTGATTACTATATTGAGTAAGTACTCTTATTCTTATATAATCATCAAGGGGCAAGAAAAATAAAAATGTGTATATATACTTGTCATACAATCAAGTCTTTTCAAGTACACCTTACTAACTTGTACCCTTCTAGGGTAGCCACTAGATGGAGCCAATCCAAATATCTAATAGTTGTTCAAGCGTGGGTCATGAGTAAAAGGGTGTTCAAGCTTTGGTCGAGCTCCTAAATATGTGTGAGCTTGACCTAACTGCCTAGCCACTACTCACCAAGCTCACAAGCCATGTAGACTCATTTTTTATATATGTATACTTTTCTAAAACCTATAATCTCAAATGAAAAGTGTCACTCCATTGTTACTTTTAACTTCAATTTTGAATTTGTCGCTTCCACACAAAAAATGAGTCTACATAGCTCTGTTGAATGAGATTATTGGAAGAACAGCAAAAGCTGTCATTAGAAACAACATAGCTCTATTTTTTGGGATTTCTGAAGTCAAAAGAATAAATAAATAAACGAAATATGAAAATAATAAAATAAAAGCAAGTCAATTTTCTAAAAATGTGCTTCGAAAATAGGTAAGGGCAAAGCACATTAGGGCCAAGAAAATAGACAAGACAGTGCCTGACTGGCATTTAACAGAACTTCAAAATACATCCCAAAATCGAACTGGAAAAGGCTGTATTTCATCTGACTATTGCCTCCAGATACATAACTGTATGAGTCGAAATCAGTCAAAAACTTCAATCGGTAAAGAAAGCAAGCACAATGTCAAAGAAATCTACAAAAAATTGAACGAAGATTACGATATATATATATACATAACTATGTCTACTTGTATCGAAATCAGTCAAAAACTTCAATCGGGAAAGGACGCAAGCACAATGTCAAAGAAATCTACAAAAAATTGAACGAAGATTACGATATATATATATACATAACTATGTCTACTTGTATCGAAATCAGTCAAAAACTTCAATCGGTAAAGAAAGCAAGCACAATGTCAAAGAAATCTACAAAAAATTGAACGAAGATTACGATATATATATATACATAACTATGTCTACTTGTATCGAAATCAGTCAAAAACTTCAATCGGTAAAGAAAGCAAGCACAATGTCAAAGAAATCTACAAAAAATTGAACGAAGATTACGATATATATATATACATAACTATGTCTACTTGTATCGAAATCAGTCAAAAACTTCAATCGGTAAAGAAAGCAAGCACAATGTCAAAGAAATCTACAAAAAATTGAACGAAGATTACGATATATATATATACATAACTATGTCTACTTGTATCGAAATCAGTCAAAAACTTCAATCGGTAAAGAAAGCAAGCACAATGTCAAAGAAATCTACAAAAAATTGAACGAAGATTACGATATATATATATACATAACTATGTCTACTTGTATCGAAATCAGTCAAAAACTTCAATCGGTAAAGAAAGCAAGCACAATGTCAAAGAAATCTACAAAAAATTGAACGAAGATTACGATATATATATATACATAACTATGTCTACTTGTATCGAAATCAGTCAAAAACTTCAATCGGTAAAGAAAGCAAGCACAATGTCAAAGAAATCTACAAAAAATTGAACGAAGATTACGATATATATATATACATAACTATGTCTACTTGTATCGAAATCAGTCAAAAACTTCAATCGGTAAAGAAAGCAAGCACAATGTCGAAGAAATCTACAAAAAAATTGAACGAAGATTACGATATATATATATACATAACTATGTCTACTTGTATCGAAATCAGTCAAAAACTTCAATCGGTAAAGAAAGCAAGCACAATGTCGAAGAAATCTACAAAAAAATTGAACGAAGATTACGATATATATATATACATAACTATGTCTACTTGTATCGAAATCAGTCAAAAACTTCAATCGGGAAAGGACAGAGAATAACCTGAATGTCGATGGGAGGCGAGGCAATGGTGAGCTGCAGTGGCGATGTTCGACGGTGGCAGATTGACAGACAGTGTGGTCATGTGCGATGCTGAGATGAGGGGGCGGTGGTGATTGATTCTCTCGGTGTGAGAGAGAGAGAGAGAGAACCGTGGGCAAAAATTTAGGCGCCAATATGAAATATTTCCCACTAAAATTTTGAACACATTTTAGTCACTAAAGATAGGTTACCAAAGATTAAAAAAAAAAAATTACTTTTTGTCAGCTAAAGGCGACTAAAATAATTTTGTCGCTGAAAGTAAGTTTTTGGCGACAAAGAGAAAAAATAATTTTTTTATTTTCCAGTCGGCGACTGAATATTTTAGTAGCCAAAAGTCAATATACGGCAACTAAATTTTTTTTTGTCGCTGAAAGTAAGCTTTCGCCAAAGAGAAAAAATAATATTTTTATTTCCCATTCGGCGACTAAATATTTTAGTACCCAAAAGTCAATATACAATGACTAAGTTTTTTTTTGTCGCTAATTCTGGCATTTTTAGCGACTAAATTTTTTTTTAGTTGCCAATAATGAATATACCCCCACTAAAAAAAATTAGTAGCTAAATATTTTACTTTTGGCGATCATGCAAAACCTTTATTTCTAATATCATTCACTGAGTATCCAAGCTCACCCTCTCTATATATATGTAGGTGACGAACAAGAAGGCATTGAGGCCTAGACGTGATGCCGATGTGTTTTTTTGGGTGCATTGCCGACATGTTTTGGATTATCATTTTGTACCGTCTTGAAGATCATGCTTCTCGGCTTGTTTTTCATTTGTACTTGTATACGTCGGCTTGAGAAGCCTTTTGGTCAAGATGTGTTTTGTATCTCATTTCCTTATTGTATTTGAGTTGTAAGACTTTATAAAGATGTATGTCATTTCATCGGACTTATGCACGGCTCTCATGGACTATTTAGATTCTGTAAATATATATATATTGCTTCCGCACTTGTGAGCCCCATATTTTATACTCTGATTGTGTGTGATTCTTGTAAGTCGGCCTTCGGTAATCTCGGATTACTGGCCATCACGGCACCAAACTACTAGGGGCGGTTTGGGGGCGTGACATTTACTATGAAAAAGAATAGTCGGTTTTGCATAAGGTGCCTTCTTAGATAATAGCTTCAATACTGGCATGCATGAAGGGCTTAAGTGTGAGACATATGAGAGAGGCTTTAGTGCGAAAATAAAAGAAATGGTTTACAGAGTGTCTTCTTGCTTCACGACTTCAATACTTGTGAGAGAAGAGTAGGCTCAAGTGTGAGAGAGAAATGAGGGTTTCTAGGAAGTGTCTTCTTGGGTCACGACTTGAGTGTCCGTGCACATGAAAATGAGTGATAAGGGTCGTCAGAGTGTGTCTCTTCGGGTCACGGTTTTAGTGCTCTGAAACACAAAATCATAGCATATTAATAAAGAGAAATAATTAGTGATAAAATATTTTTGTCTCCTTAAATACAAGAATAGAGAATTTATTATTGGTGACGAAATATTTTTGTCTTCCACAACATAACCTTATGGGACGAAAAATATATTTGTCGCGCAATCAATTAGAATTTATTAGTGACGAAATATTTTCATCTCCCACAACTTATTCTTCCAAGACAAAAATATATTTGTCGTCTATTTAATAGAAAGATGAAACGGCATTGTTTGCATGATGAAGTGTTTATTGGTGACGAAACATTTTCGTCTTCCATAACTTATCATTCCTAGACAAAAATATATTTTTCGCCTAATAAATGGAAATATGCAATGATATCGTTTAATAGGTAGGGAATTTATTGGTGACGAATTACGTTCGTCGCAAAATATATATATATATATATTGTGACAAAAATGTTCGTCTCCAATGAGCTAAAATAATTCGCGCCAATGTAAATGAAATTGGTGCCTGAATTTTGCAGACGAAATTTTTTTTCGTCCCCTTTATGCCTGAGAAAAATTAAAACAAACGACAAAATTAATATTTTGTCATCTTTGGGTTAAATTTTAAGACAAAAAAAGATTTCGTCACCAAATTTTGTTACAATAGCCTAGATTTCTTGTATTTTGTTTCCTTATTTAATTATTTTTTTTTTCTTTTTGTGGAGAGGGGTTTACTGTAAGAAAGAATAGTAGCTTTGCACAAAATGTCTTCTTGGATAATAATGTTTGCATGCACAAACGACTTAAATGTGAGAGAGAATAGAGGAGCTTCAATGCGAAATAAAAGAGATGGTTTATAGAGATTGTTTTCTCGAGTCACACCTTCAATACTTGTGAGAGAGGAGGCTCAAGTGCAAGAGAGAAATGAGGGTTTGTAGAGGGTGTCTTTTCGGGTCACGACTTTAGTATTTGTGTGTGTGTGAAAGTAAGTGATTAAGGTGAGAGTGTCTCTTAGTTTCTGACGACATTTTAATAAAGAGAAATAATTAGTGATAAAATATTTTCGTCTCAAACTCATATGTTCGTTGCCTAATCAACAAAAATACAAAAACAACGTTGTGTGGGGATGGAGAATTTATTGGTGATGAAATATTTTCGTCTCCTTCAACTTAACCTTATGAGACGAAAATATATTCGTCACGCAATCAATCAAAATGCAATACGACACATGGAGAATTTATTAGTGACGAAATATTTTCGTCTCCCAAAACATATCCTTCTGAGACAAAAATATATTTGCCGCCTAATTAACAGAAAGATAAAACGAGCATGAAGAGTTTATTGGTGACGAAATATTTTTGTCTCCCATAACTTATCCTTCCCAGACAAAAAATATATTTGTCACCAAATAAATAAGAAAATGAAACGATATCATCTAATAAGTTTGGAATTTATTGGTAACGAATTCCTTTTGTCGCAAAAAATTTTAAATTTTGTGACAAAAATATTCGTCTCCAATGAGCTAAAATAATTGGCGCCAACAAGAAAAAAAAAATTGGCGCCTCTTTTTTTTTTCCTGACGAATTTATTTTTTCGTCTCCTATAATTTTGAGAAGAATTAAAAGAAATGAGAAAAGTAATATTTGGTCATGTTTAGGTTACATTCTAAAATGAAAATAAATTTTATCACCAAATTTTAAAAATTAATTATTAAAAACTCCATACTAAACAAGATAATGCTTTCTATTAATTTTGAAAATTACAAATTTTTTATTATTTGTTTCTCTGTATTTTTTCTCACAAAAAAATAGCTACATTAATTATCTTTTTTTTTCTTTTTTTTTGGAGAGAGGTTTTGACCTTCGATTTTTCTGAAATGAGTGTTCTAGACGGAAAGGATAGAGTTGGTTCCGACAATGAGAAAAAGTGCTTGCGTGCAAGAGGGGCCTTCACTGTGAGAAAGAATAGTGGGTTTGCATAGGGTGTCTTCTTGGATAATAGCTTCAATGCTAGCATGCACGAAGGGCTTAAGTGTGAGACAGAAGAGAGGGGCTTTAGCACGAAATAGAAAAAATGGTTTACAGAGTGTCTTCTTGAGTCACGACTTCAATACTTGTGAGAGAGGAGTAGACTCAAGTGCGAGAGAGAAATGAGGGTTTGTAGAAAGGGTCTTCTTGGGTCACGACTTCAAGGTTTGTGTACATGAAAATGAGTGATAAGCGTCAGAGTGTATCTCTTGGGGTCACAGTTTCAATGCTTTAAAACACAAAAGAGAAATGATTAGTAACAAAATATTTTTGTATCCTTAAATACCAGAACAAAGAATTTATTATTTATGATGAAATATTGTTGTCTTCCACAACTTAACCTTATGAGACGAAAAATATATTCGTCACGCAATCAATTAGAATTTATTAGTGACGAAATATTTTCGTCACCCACAGCTTATTCTTCTGAGACAAATATATTTGTCGCCTATTTAATAGAAAGATGAAATGACGTTGTCTGCATGATGGAGTGTTTATTGGTGACGAAATATTTTCGTCTTCCATGACTTATCCTTTCCAGACAAAAATATATTTGTCGCCTAATAAATGGAAATATGCAACGACATCGTTTAATAAGTATGGACTTTATTGGCGACAAATTACGTTCGTCACAAAAAAAATTATATTTTGTGTCAAAAATGTTCGTCTCCAATGAGCTAAAATAATTCGCGCCAATGCAAATGAAATTGGCGCCTCATTTTTGCAGACAAAATTTTGTTTTCGTCTCCTATACTTTTGAGAAAAATTAAAACAAACGACAAAATTAATATTTCGTCATATTTGAGTTAAATTTTAAGACAAAAAAAAAATTTCGTCACCAAATTTTGTCACAATAGCTTAGATTTCTTGTAGTGCTACCAGGCAAAGAGAATTGCTACATGACCTTGAAAATTTTGAGGTTGAAATTGTGTTGCAAGAACAAGGCGGGACATTAACTGCTATTTCTGCTCAACCAACAATTCTTGAAGAAATTAAAGAAAAACAGCAACAAGATGAATTTTTGAAAAAGATTATTGATGAACGGGAATCCAAACCAAGGCCTGATTTTGTTTTTGAAAATGGTGTGTTGAAATTTCAAGGTAGATTATGTGTACCAAATGATCCCAAATTGAAAAAACGCGTTTTGCAAGAAGCCCGGGTCATGCTTGGTAGCTCGAAAGAGCTACCCCCAAATCCCCCAAATTTGCAGAAAACAGAAGAAGAAGGAAGAGGAAGGAGGAGGAGGAGGAGGATGGGGAAGAAGGAGAAGAGAAGGAAGGAGGAGGAGGAGAAAGACGAAGGACTGGAGGGGGCCAAATAAATCGGGTGTGTGGAGGCGGAGGCGGGGGGCGGAGGCGGAGGCGGAGGCAGAGGCAGAGATAGGGGCTGCGAAGGGCGGGGCTGCGATGACGAGCTGCGATGGCCGGCGACGAGCTCTTCCTTGCGACTAGCTGCAACCTGCCTCTCTTCTCTCCCTCTCCCTCTTTCTCTTTCTCTCCCTCTCCCTCTCCCTCTCTCTCTGTCTTAGAGCTGCAGGAAGAAGATGAAGAAAAAAAAAATGCCCAAGACTTTTTATCCATTTGGGGAATACGAAAATGTACCAAGATTTGAAACTCAATTTTTGGTGGCCGGGAATGGAGAAGGAAATTGCTGAGTTTGTATCAAAATGCTTACACTGCCAACAAGTAAAAGCCGAGCATCAACGACCCGCGGGATTGCTCTAA